CCCCCCCCCCCCCCCCCCTCCACGTCACCCACATCATGTCCACCCAGCCAGCATCCGCTTCCGCCGCCGCCGCCCCGATGTCCACCTTCGCGGCGCTGCTGCGTCGCAAGCAGGACAACGAGCGGCGCGCCGGGGCGGTGGCGCTGTACCGCGCGCGGAAGGACACGGTGCGCGCCGCGCTGCGCGCCGCGGAGGCGATGGTCGGGCGCTCGGCCGACCAGCTGCGGCTCGCGCTGCGCGATCTCGAAGAGGCCGTGGCGAAGCTCAAGGAGACGAGGAAGATGATCGCGAGGATCTTGGGCGGCGACAGGCGGAGGCACGGGGAGGGCGAGAGTACGCCGGAGGGGGAGAGTACGCCGGAGGGCGAGAGTACGCCGGATACAGGCAACGCGGAAACAAAGGTTTGAGGAGGGGCAACGGCAGCGCGTTACAGCACCGGGCCGGGGGAGGCGGCCGTGGCAGTGGGTTTGAAGGGCGCCTAACCCTGTTACTGTAGGATAGAATTTAGTTGCATGTGAAGCACCGTCAGCCGGTGCGAATCTTGGGAGAAGGAGAGACGGGAAGAAAATCGAGATGGGAGAATCGCAATGCCCAGAAGGCTGCTGCCAAGGGCAGTATGCGAGCGCCGTTTGACGATGAGAGCATATGCCGTGACATTGCTAGGCATGCATCGATCAGTATCAAGACGTGCGGCTCCACCAGGAGATTCCGTTCCTCAAGGTTTGGTAAACTGGCTATAGTGCGTGCGTGTAGTTGCGCGTTTTGCTCGTGACGAAAAGCTTGCGACTCAATCGCACAACCTGATCGAGTTTTAAGCCCTCCATGACTACTACTAGCAATGCCCTTCAGGAGTTATGAACGAGATGCCGCTCCCGGGGACGTCGGCTGGGCAAGGTTACAATAGGTTGTCCGCTCATCTTGACTGAAAGATGCAGATGTTCTCATTTCGCTTAAATATCTTTCGCGTGAATTCGCGTGTACACGGTAAGTCTTACGCTATAAATCACCAGCGGTGCACGTATGGGGCTGTATGCAAGGTATATGCAAAAGAAACAAGGCTTGCAAGCCATGCTTCATTTCAATGACGCAAGCCAGCCCCATGCGAATACACTTCCTTGTCACGCCCTGGCATTTAGATCTCCGCCTTCTTTGTCGGAACGACGCGGTCTTGTCAACCCTCTTCGCACCCGACAACCGGCGTCCCGTCTCCGTGGCACCGGGATTCTCCCGCTAACGATCTTTACCTAAATGCCTGCTTTGCTTCGATGCCCTTCCTGACAGCTGTTTCCACCGCCCCGACAATCTCCTTTGCCGCTAATTTCCCACTGAGCACGGCCCCCTCCATAGACGCGAGGTACATCTGCAACGTGTAATCGCCAGCCAAGAAAAAGTTTGAAATGGGAGTCTTCTGCGTCGGCCGCGACGGTTGTAGTCCCTTTGTCGTCTTGTACACGCTGCGGGGCGTCTTGACGACATGATATTTTAGCAGCTTTGCCGGTTCGGCCGCAAGGGGCCCAATGTGTTGCGGAAAGAGCTTCTCCAGCTCGTTCATGGTGACGTCGACGATATCCTGATCGCTCTTGCCAATGTAGTCTTTCGCCGGGGCGAGCACGAGCTCGAGCATGCTCCGGTCCGGGTTTTCGTATTCGCGGCACGTGTTGGACATGTCCGCGTACACGGAGAGCAGCGGGCTTCTTGAAAAGAGGAGGTGGTCGACGTCGGTGAGCTTGCGGTCAAACCATAGATGCAGGTTGATTACGGGGACGCCGACCAAGTTCTTGAGCCCCGCAAAGGCGTCAAGCGACTTCCACTGGTCGGGCAGCAGGAGCTTGAGGATGTCGACGGGCATGGCGCTAACGTACGCGTCGGCGCGGACGATTTCGTCCGGCACACCGGCGCCGATGCCGCGGATGACCAGCTCCTTGACGGAGCCGTCCGGGTTGAGGCGCACCTCCTTGAGCGGCTTGCGTAGAAAGACTTGCCCCCCCTTCTCCTCGATGTGGCTCACCATCGGCTCGCACAGGCGCTCAGTCGGCGAGCCGTCCAGGAAGGCCATCTTGGAGCCGTCCTTCTCCTGCAGGAAGCGGTTGAGGGCGGTCAGGATGACGGTGGTGGAGATGTCGTCCGGGCCGATGAAGTTGAGAGCCTTGGACATGGCCATGAAAACCTCGTCGTTGACGCGCTCCGGAATGCCCTGCTTCCGCAGCCACTCGGTCCACGACAGCTCGTCGCACTTTTCCACATAGTCCTGCCCGAGGACAATAGCGGGCAGCAACCCGATCGCAAACCTGATCTTCTCCTCCCATGTGAGGAGGTCGTTATTCCTCAAAATGGCGAGAATGCCGTTAAGCGGCGCGGGCAAGTTGTCCGGAAAGTCGAACCTAGAGTAGACGGGTTGTGTGTGGACGAGGCCATCCGGGCCGGGCGCGCGCTCCTCGTCGGACTGCTGAACATTAAAGATCATGGCGTGGTCCTTCCACTGGAGGCGGTCCTGAATGCCGAGCTCGTCGAAGAGCTTGAGGACGTTGGGATAGGCGCCGAAGAAGATGTGCAGGCCGGTCTCGTACCAGTCGCCGTCGGCGTCCTTCCAGGCGGCGACCTTGCCGCCGAGCACGTTGCGCGCCTCGTACACGACTGGCTGCTGGCCGGCCTCCTCGAGGTACTTGGCGCACGAATT